TATAATACCTAACCCTTCTTATACAACATTGGTATATTAATGTTTTTAAACTTGGCGAAAATTTTGTATATTTTCTGGGATTTTGTTGCGTACATAAACAAAATCATCTATATTTATTTACAAAAAAATTACAGGAGAACATTTGCGACGCACCGGCACACGAATTATTTCGAACAGCTTTCGAACTCGCTTAAATTAAGAAACTGACTTATATACACTTGTAATTTTGCGTTACTAATAAGGAACTCTTCAATTCTTAGAATCATAAATTTTATGATTAAAACTATTATGTTTCTTGAGTGTTCATAGTTTTTATTTAATAAGAAAGTTAACGTGTACATTTCCATAAATGCTATGATTTATGAGTTTGCGGTTAGTTTACATTTCAACGCTTCTACTGGCGAAGCTGGAAAACCCCGAGCATTGTTTGTAGTGAGATGGATCATAAATACTAAATAAATAACTAAAACACTAAGTGAGTTCCGAGAAAAAAAAAACTAAATGTGATTGTTTTACTAGCAATTACATTTAGTATTTCTGGCTGGGGTGGACCAAGGGCCAACTCAAAGCAAAAAAAGAAACACGTAAATAATATGAAAAGTATCGTATATATATATATATCAAAATTAATGGCGGATTTATACTTCGACAAGTAACCCCCCCCACCCCGCGCGTCTCCCGTCATCCGCAACTAAACTCGCCGCTCGTGTTTAGCTTTAGTTCAGTGCATAAAGGACGCAACGTGTTCGCCATTCGACCCTCAAATTATAAAATTGTACTTTTTGAACTAAACTCGCCATGAAGATATTTAAACGCTACTGTTCACTTAACCGTTTACTGTCAACTGCCCTGTAACTAAACTCGCTACTGTACTTGTCAAAGTGTAAATCGGCTATTAAAGCTATCCCGTTCAACTTAATTGTTGAGTTGCTACTTAACTCGCTAATTGCCGTTCAAACGAGATTTCTACTTAAATCGCCAGGTTCGCAAGTCAACTCGTTACCGTACTTGTCGAACTGTAAATCGGTCTTTATACTCAGTAGTTGTGATGAGTATACTAGTATGTTACATGCACATAAAAAATGCGTATCATTCAAACAGATTAATGGAATTAATCTACAACAATGTGTATTAAATTTGGAGTACTTAACTGATAATTTTCTGTCATTTTCTTCTTAATAAATTATAAGAGGGAATTACCTCTTAAACAAGTATAAAAAAAGACATTTTTATTTTAATGAAACTAACACAAATAGCTGATGTGAAGAATCGACGCTGCGGGAAGTCTGCATTCTATGAACACATATCAAATTTGATAGACCACAAATCCCCGCTAAGGAACATCGATTCCTTCCAAGGATGATTCGCGAGGCCATCGAAATCAAAAAACATCCTAATTTCAATAGAGAAGATGGACGGGTACTACCATCTGCTTGGGATCTTATCTATCCAAACATATAATAAAAATGTAAGCTTCTGTCTATACGTATATTAAAAATGTAAATTGCAGATGTCAGTACAATTTATATTTTCGTAACAAAAGTGATTGAGAGATCCTAAAAATAAATAATTGAATACATCTCTATCTTTATATTTTAGAATTGTCTGTCTGTTTGTTTGTTAACACTCACGCCTGTCACCCAGAGGGGTAGGCAGAGACTACGGACTTCCATTTGGCACGATCCTGACATACCTCTTTCGCCTCCTTTACATCCGTATATCTACGCATACATGCTCGTCGGTTAAGGTTACTTCTAACGTGGCCCATTTTCAAAATATCGCCAATTTGGTCGATAAACTTTTTTCTTGGGCGTCCCTTCCCGACTCGGCCATTCACATCTGCCATATAAATTTGCTTTGTCACTCTTTCCTCATTCATTCTTTCTACATGACCAAACCACCGAAGCATTCCTTTGTTAATCCTGGTCACAACATCATCTTGCATACCACATTTATCTCTTATCACGCAATTTCTCACCCTGTCATTCAAATTCAACCCTAGTATATTCCTTAAAGACCGCATTTCTACAGCATTTATTCTACTTTCGTGCTTCTTCTGCCACACCCAGCTTTCACTACCATACATTAAAGTAGGGACTAACACAGCATTATGAATTACCATACGTGCCTTTTTTGACACATTCTGGTTCTTCATAATAGAGTATAGTGCCCCATTCACTCTATTCCTTGTTAATAAATTCCTTGTTAACGTATCATGTATAAAGTACTAATTTATATTAAAATAATCGTTAAGAATATTGTGAAGAGTGTCTTCATTTTACATTTAGTCTTGGTTTTATTAAAACCTGTTCTTCTTGTCAAAAGTTATGTTTAATATTCTGTAGGTACAAATTTGTTCAATGGTGGCATTGAGTGATCAAGGGCATTTTTGTGATTAAATAATGTAATATAATGTTCTGTAATGATATAATTTCATCTAAACGCAGTAAAAAATTGATAAAGAACCAGGCGTTAATTTGCGGAATCCATTATAATAAAAAATAAAAACCTATAAATTTCTTTGCAACTTTCCGCTAAACATATAAAATGATGTGTCTTACCTGGAATGAAGCGCACCTCCCGCCCTCCCTCAATTGTATACACTAACTCCGTCACCACTATACTAAGCACCACTACTCTCAACACCACTATTCCAGGCAAGACACACCATCGACGATAATACGACACGTGTTTCGCCTCTACACGAGGCATCATCAGGTAATATAGACTCTACGGCGGCTGACCGCTAAGTGAGCGGCGAGTCGAAACAAGATCTTAAAGATGTTTAACAAAAGGCCAATCTTTAATAATAATTTTAAGATTATTAATAATAAATAATTATAATAATATCAATAAAACAATAATAATAATAGTATTTAAAATATTAATCATAACAATAATAATAATTAATAGCAGATTTGTTATCGCACGGCGCGGTCACTCAAAACAATAATAATAATAGTATTTAAAAATAATCATAACAATAATAATAACTGTTGGCAGTTTTTTTATCGCACGACGCGGTCACTCGCTACTTTGGTAGGGAGCGATTGTGTCAGCGTGTATAAATAACAACTGTTTCGACTCGCCGCTCACTTAGCGGTCAGCCGCCGTAGAGTCTATATTACCTGATGATGCCTCGTGTAGAGGCGAAACACGTGTCGTATTATCGTCGATGGTGTGTCTTGCCTGGAATAGTGGTGTTGAGAGTAGTGGTGCTTAGTATAGTGGTGACGGAGTTAGTGTATACAATTGAGGGAGGGCGGGAGGTGCGCTTCATTCCAGGTAAGACACATCATTTTATATGTTTAGCGGAAAGTTGCAAAGAAATTTATATTTTTATTTTTTACTAAACGCAGTAAACAAAAATTATAAAGAATAACGTAATTAATATTTATAAAAATATATAAACCCTATTATATCTTAGTCAATAAAGTATAATAGTTAACTATTGCCATCGATAGATGGTGTTGTGTATTATTTATTAAACTTTGAATAAGTAGGTTTGGTTTTTTTCTTAACCACTTAGTACCTACAACATGGTTAATCAAATTTTAAAAGAGCTTTAAACAATATCTTTGATTTCGACGAGGATCCTAGAACTTGGCATTATTCTTTCCCTTTTCAGTTGCAAACAGTTTTAAAATTTACATTGTAGTGAAATTAAAAAATCACGTTATACGATTTTTAATTTGTTTTTATTATATTATTGCTAACTGTTCTTTTCTAAATATCATGTAATTTTTATTTTACTTTTTACTGTAATAATAAATTAACTACTATTTTATATAGATGGCGCTGTAAGTATTTTCAAGCACCATAAGGTTTAATTATAAGCGAGATATGAAAGACACATAATATGTAAATAATTACTCTGCTTGCTGCTTCAACGCAATGTTTGTATTGGACCAGCAATTACAATGTTCTTAGTTTTATCCGATAATCGTTGCAGCATTTTAAAGTTCACTGCTGAACATAGGCCTCCCTATTGTTGCCTCATTTTGGGCATAGTTTCCACCATCTACCACGAACGCTTTACCCGATTACGGAACCGAAGGAGCGGGTTATATTATAATATACAGCCAATATAATATGGGTATAGGCATTCAATGAAATGTATATATAAAAAAACGATATCATTGTAGGCATTTCATAACTTCTTCGAGCGGGGAAGAGTCTATAGCGCCGTCTTGACGCATTTGTTCTCTTTACTTTAAAATTGGGCGCAGATGCGTGAAATTGGGACAATAACTTCCTTTTAATAAGTAGGCATCCACTAAGAAAGAATTTTTGAAAAATTTAAATCCTTAGATGGTGAAATAATGTATTTAAGAATCCATTCTTACGCGGTGATTTTACAGGGAAAAATTATTAAATGATTTTTGTAACTTTAAAATTATTACGAATACTTTAGGATTAAAATAATGCAATTAGTTCTTTTATTTCATTTTTCTAAACACTTACCTTAAATTGTTAAATGGTTACATGGTTTTCGCTGAAAAATGATTTTAAATTGCATGGTGTTTAGGAAATCCCTAAAACGTAAATAATTACGATAATTCTACAAAAGTCTGTCCCTATTGATCATTATATTTACAAAATATTAAAAATTGTCTATTCATAATTGTGTCGAAAACGAGGTATTCATATTACTTACCATTTTTAATTTAAAGGTTAAATTTCTAGACCATTCGCAAAATAAATAAATTTTATTTATGTAACAATTTAAAATGTCATTTTATAAGAACGAGTAAAATAATGTATACTGATACAATATTTTACCATGTATGTATTTTTTATGTACGTATGTATTCAATTATAGTCGAAACGTGCAATAAATGGTTAAAAGTAAGCTTACCTTTGAAATGAAAAACGCATGCAGTGATCATGTGATGACAAACATGAATAAAACAAGAAGAATAAAAAACTAAAGAAAGCGATAATACATCAATTTATTATAAGTGAGGTATATAACAAAATGAAAATAACAATTTATTTTTCTAAATCCACATCACGTCCTTGTATTTTTTAGTCTCTTCGTATATAATTTGATTTATCTCATTAATCATATCCCTTGATAATGATCCAGAATCAAGTCGTAGTTCTTCATACTGTGAGCCTAACGGGAATAAAAACATATTTTAAAATATGAATTTGGAATTTTTTCGGGACTTACAAGGATCAAAGTAGTTGTAATTATATGACAGATAAAACAGTGGATTGAAACTGAAATCACTTTATGTTTGCCTCAGTAAGGTATGTATGTATTGTTTTTATTTTTATTTCCGAGTAGTTATACACTGAAGCTTTGCAAATACCAACATTGATTATTGTTATTTAGTTTTATGTGAACCATGTTCTAGCGCATGCAGTTAGAAATCATTTATGCAAATAAATCAGTAAAATTATGGAATAAAATATTATATAAATTGCGCAAATAAAATGGCGATTAATACAAAACGAAAAGGTTTTTACATGTTGAATGATTATTATTTGTTATGGATTATTCTGTTTTTGTTCGTTTTGCAATAATATTTATTATGATTGAAATAACCAAAGTATTATGAAGAGAATGAAAAACTTAGAAAGTAATTGATTATAAACATAGTTTTTAAAACATTTTACCTGATGCTTTCCGTTCTTGAACGCGGCGACCAGTCTTTAGAATATGATGCGCCTCTACGTCTTCCACCACCGATGTTTCTGCCTGTCTTCCATCTCTCTACATGGTATCTGATCGCATGCCTTACTTCAGTGTTCATAAAGCAATAGAATAAAGCCACGGTAAAACCCTGTATATAAAAAAGTAGATTTTAAATTTAATATAAAAATTTATATTAAAAATTTGCGTAAGGTATATATAGTACTCAAAATGTAACGCTCAAATCTAATAGTATTTAAAGTGCTTTCTCTTTTTTTGGATTTTTTTCTCTTCCGGCCATTTTTATTGTATTCACAAGATAAGAATTGATCCATTCTAATAATAAATATCTCGCTGTAAACGTGGCTTATCGTAGATCAGTTCCTTAGAATTATAGTACCTAATTATAATCATAAAGTCAGTATATATTGTCAATATAATATGGAAAAAACTGATTTACTTAATAAAAACAAGGGATTCTGTGGCATCTTGAGCTGACTTTATAGCTGACCTGATATGTTCGCAGCCATAAAAAAGCTGATGTTTGGTTTTGCCACGTAAAAAATTTACAAATCAAAATGTTATAATTACTTATGTCTTAGTGAAATTTACCAAGAAAATAATTATACTTAATTATTATAATATTTTTTATAGAAGAGGGGGCAAACGAGCATACGGCTCACCTGATGGTAAGTCATTACCGCCGGACTGCAACACCGGGGGAATTACAGATGCTTTGCTGGTCTTTTAAAAAGGAGGCTCTTATTTTGAAGGTCCCTAAGTCGTATCAGTCCGAAAAAATCTCTGGTGGTAGTAGATTCCAAAGGAAGTTGCGCGAGGAAGTAAACTTCTTTTAAATCACACAATAAATAATAAGAAATATTTTCTGTAAACATTACCTGTGTTGATAACATTAAAGCTCTAGAATAGTCAAAGGCGTGAGCAAACCACGAATCATCGCTAGGGCCGCATAAAACTAGCAAATTAGTGATGCCCAGAAGAGGGATTAAAACAAGCAGCGCCTTTGTTGCCTTTCGGTACTGTTCTGTCTCTAACGTGTTGGCCGACCTCAGCTTAGTGATCAGCACCTGGGATTCAAAATAGCCAAAAATTTATAACTTTAAAACATTTAAATATTTCTTTATTTAAATATTTATTTTAAGTAAAAACATGATGTTTCATTTATCACCGAGCTTGTGATCAATTAACATCATCGATATATATATGTACTACGCACTAGATATGACATTCCGAATTTCCGAACTCTCACTATGTTCAACTGAACTGTAGCTGCAGTCCGTACACCTGTTATTGTGGCTTCGATATTCATGCAGTCTGGAGCGGCGCTAATAATAATTTTATATTAGCATATATGCAAAATAAACGGAAATAAAAAACTGTACTCGATTAACAATACAATCTAAATAAGCAATTATATAATAATAATAATGTCCTCCAGACCGAATTTCGGCCACGGCGGCCTGCCTCAACGGAGGCTAGCCATCGGCGCAGGACAGGATTATAGTGCCCAAGTGTATGTGCAAGCACAGGTGCACCCTCTATTCCCTCACTCTCATAATCCGATGGGACAGTAAACCGACACGACCGGAGAGAGAGATCAGGCGCAGGACCAACGGCTTTACGTGCTTTCGGAGGCATGGGTGTGAGACACCGCCAACTTCCTGACTCCGGGCAGCTACTGAGAATTTCGTGACAGAAAAACTCAATAATTGATTTTTTGGCCCGACCTGGGATTCGAACCCAGGACCTCATGATCAGCAGTCGCACTACTACAACCACTAGACCAACGAAGCAGTTAAACAATTATATAGTCTATTACGATCATAATAAAGACTATTTTCGCGCGTTTATATCAACAGCGCATGCGCGACTCTACTGATTCCCGCGCATGTGTGGATACAGAGTAGTGTACAGAGTTTTTTGTTTGGAATAGCTTCTCTAGTACGTAGTACATATAACCCAATGATTGACACTTAAAATTTACCTGATTGACTGTGTGTAGCGTATTATCAAGGACTTAAATACCTGTTACATTGTTAATTGAATTACTTGGCTTATTTATATAGAATAAGGGTGACAAACGGGCACAGCCCACCTGATGGTAATTGGATGCTGTGGCCCATAAACATCTACACTTATCGTCGATTAAGAATGAAAACGTAGTTGAATTGTCACCCCTGAGGACTAAGATGGAATGCCACGTTTCTAGTAGAAAAGCGTCTCCGGATCTCTTTACTCACCATACGAAATACAGCAGTATTAAGATGCTATTTTATGCTAGTATTCTGTGAGAGCGTAGATCTACTCTGATCGAGCCGAACCATTCGTGCTACAACCATAATATAGCTGCAGCGTGGCTCTAACCTATGTTATTGTGAATTTTTTGACAATTTCCGATGCGGTTTTTTTTGTTACATTTTGCCATTCGTCAGTAGTTACTAAATTGGCCCTAAGTTGAGAGTTGCAAAGTTGATGGCAAGAAAGAAAAATAAGAATTTCTTACATCGCCATTGAATCAATGCTATTTGGTACTAAATACGTACCCACATAATTCTGATTAAAAAAAATAGATTTAGTGCCAATCCAATTAATGCCGGTGCTTTGTGAATCCAATCAACTTGATGTTCATGAATCCATAGACACATCTTTGTGTCACTTGAGAATGCCAACTGTAAGTAAACAACAAAATATTTTTTGTATAACCAATAAAATGATCGTTAATATACGCAACATCTGAGTATAAATCTATACATATGTATAAAATTAAAGTGTCTATCTGTGATATCGAAATAGCTGTCTTATAGACATGTGTCAATCTTTCATTTCTCTACTCTAGTACATTTCGTCACGCGTACCGGTACATTCGAATCGATCATTCAATTGGATCATTTTAGGCTCCATCACCCTATACTAAAACAATTCATTCAGATCATTCGGGATTTAGTCGGTTTTCGACTCATGTACAATTCACACCAATCACAAGTTAAAGGTTCCGTCATTTGTTTGTGATTGGTTGTACCGGAACACTCAAAAACAGATGAAAGAACCATCAATACTTTTAAGTGAACCAGCTCAAACGAATGAATCGTTCATGATTGACACATGTGTACTTTCTTATACTGAGATGAGAGGGCTATTTGCAATACAATACAATTCAATACAATACAATACAATAATCTTTATTGTACACTAAAGAAACATAAATATAACACATAATGAACAAGTAATGAGGGAAAGACAAAAGGCGGTCTACATAGCAATCTATTCCAAACAACCCAGAAGAGGAAATTAATAAAAATAAAAATAAGATTAACGGGTAGGGTGCACAGAAAAAAAAATACAAACTTATATACTAAAATGACAACATACTTTAGGTAGATTAATGACCATAACTAAGAGGAGGAAGAGAGAGGAGATAAAGAGACAAATAGTGTTTCTTAATCTGATTCTTGAACACATTTAATTTTTATGCATTTATTTTGCATTTATCTTGAACACATTTGCATGCTGCGTAATAAGATAAAATAAGAGTTTAATCTATCTAGATCGGCTTGAAGGTTGCTGCAATCAGTAATCCCATTAATTTTCAGTGGTGACAGTCTTCTTTAACAAGGTGGAAGTTGGATCTACTAGCAGGGCTTTTCCTGAGTATGACATGTCCATCTTGTGTCCAGTCTATACACGGTAGGTTAAAGTCGCCTACAAGTATAAACTGATCATTGGGATGATTATTACGTATTTGTGAAATAAGATTTACAAACAGTCTGGTTCTCTCTGAGAGTGATGAGTTAGGGGGTATGTAAACCACTGCTATGTGGAGATCGTGCTCTAATCCCTCAGCACTAGAAGGAACCGTCACCCAAACGCACTCAAGGTTATCACAATGCCATTTAGATTTCATACAGGCCTGCAAGTAAGGTGCACACACTAACATTACCCCACCACCCAACGACCCACGGTCACGACGAAACACATTATATTTATCATTACATACTTCTGAATCCAGGATTCCGTCATAAAGCCAAGTTTCGGTTATCATAACCACATAGTAATCAAGCAATAGTAAATTATTATAAAATTCATTAGTCTTATTCCTCAAACCCCGTACGTTCTGATAATACAGTTTTAATTCTTTCAGTGTAGTATCCATTGAAAAAACAGTTGACGATGCCAGTACTTATTATAGTTATAGTGAACAATTACATAATCAAGGTACCTAAAAATGTAGCAAGGTGTAGGCGTAACATATGAATAATTATAGTTAATAATAGTTTTTAATAAGAATAAGTAATAAATGATTAATAAATGTGTAAATTTTACTTGTAAATATGTTATTATTAAACGATAATAAATTACATTATATATTTTAAAAGATATTCTGTATTTATATTTGAGAATGTAATAAATAAATGTTTATAAGTAAAGCATTAGATGAGATGAAAAAATCATAAAGAAAAAAAAAAAAAAAAAAAACCCTTTAAAAATTTTTTTTATTAAATTTATTCCCCTCTTTCTTTCTTTTTTTTATTTTTTTAAAAAATTAGTTACACATCCAAACCCCATATCATTGGCTTTTAAATTACGATGTTTACGTGCAGCGGCCATTATTTTGTCTTTAGTAAAACGATGCCTTAACCGAGCGACAATAGGGCGCGCACGCACGGTGCTTGTGACACGCCGCGGCTGCACGCGATGTGCATACTCCACTTCAGAGGGTTCGAATGAGACTCCAATATGCTTCGAAATCTTTTGTATAATAGTTAATGTGTTCTCATCCTTATCTTCTGGTATGCCAGCGATTTCGATATTTTGCAATCTGGCCCACTGTTGTTGCTTCATGTTATCGTCTTCCAGTCTTCACACGAGTTGTGAGGTGATTTAATTGTTCTTTGAGGCGTTTATTCTCATCCTTGAGGCACTGAAAATCCGATGTGGTGTTGGTCCGAGTCTAGGTGTTTTTTTTAAGTCATCATATTGTCCAGAAATATAATTCATAGACTCTTGAAGTTCGACAAAGCGACTATTTATATCGTTCAGCTGATTTGATACCATTCGAGTCAGTATTTTTTCAAGTATGGTCTCAATTTCCGTTATCAATTCTTTTTTTAGGATTTTTTTGAGTTTTTCTTGAGAAAGTTGTGAGTCCACTGAACGATTTCTTCGCACATTACAATCTTGAGATAGATACTCGGGTTTAACTTTGTCATCAATCTTTGAGTGACTAATAGAGCGAATTGGCATATCTAAGTTGCCTGTTTTTGGTTGCTTGCTTCTGCACTCTGAGCATTTTCCATTGAGTTTTAGCTTCTAGGCTCATTTTCCTAAATCGCTTTGGTGACAAGTTTGCACACAACACATCGTACTTTAATTTACAACCATGACAACTTATAAATTCATTACTTGCTATATCACTTTTACAACCGGCGCAGCTATATGAATCCATCTTGTAGACTTGATAACTGTGCGGACGGCCTAACGATGCAATGAGCCCGTCTACGTCACAGCGAGTTGTCGTAGGTCACGGTTTTATACAATGATATAAAATTCATGTAAGGAAAGTGCTAGTAGTTTATCTCGTCACAGATTTCAAAACGATGTTATACGAAAGGTTCTTGTCTCTATAAATGTCCCCTCGGTTTAAAGCACCGCGAAATATTAAGAGCAGATGGCAGGAAAACCGATTTTAGGACTTTGGTTCTTTTATATTTGGACATCTCAGGGGTACCTCATTTAGGGCCAGGGCGGTATCAGAGGCGGTTGAACTGTACTACATATCTGTTGAATGTATATACCGTACAGACGAACAGTCTGTGGGGCCTACGCCGCGACTTCTCGTTGCCGCTGTTGATAAGGCGGTTGGTTCGTTTCTCGATTTTGAGCAAAGCTAAGTATATCCATTCAGCTAAGAAACGCAGCTAGCGTACTGTACCGCAGGAGGTAGGATGGCGTGTTAATTGAAGTTTTTAGTGTTAGGTTTTTTTAATTGCGATGATAAATGTTGTGTATTTTATGATATGTAAATATTTCAATGTGTCTAGCTTGAGATTCAATATCCCGCTTCATCGTGGAAATTCAAAATAAAATTATTAATATCATATTAAAGCTGCTTTTAAAATCCGTTGTAGTGAAAAACAGATTTTTTCCCAAGTTTTTGTTTTCACTTCGTTTGTTTTATCGCTTTGTTCGCGACAATGGAATAATTTGATTTCGCATTACGTTACAATATTAGATTTGTTGTGGTACGAAAGTTATATAGCCATTGAACACAAATAATACATAGAAGTATTCTTAGCTCCAATGATGAGCTACGTCAGACGTAGCATAACAATTGTGCTATGAACAATATGGTTCAATTACGTCACTAGTCATTAATTAAAATTTGCACTGCACCTTATTACGTAAAACGTGGCGACGAGTGACGTGATAAACATTGTAAGCGACGGATATGATGTTTGGCAATTGAAACCAAAATGAAACGAGAAATAAAGTTTACTTTTGACTGTGCATCCCGAGTCGTAATGAAATGTGTGAATGTTTGAAATTTTGTGCCATGTTGCGCGCTTAATTTCCTTGAAGTAATACTTCCATGTCTTAATTGCATTCACAATAGAGTACAGCAATATAAACGACGTATTTGATCAATATCCAATTCCATTTTTTGTGTATTTATTTGCTTCCGTTCTTGTTAATGTTATTTTGTTGTTGTTATTGAATTCTTATCCCAATCAAGGATCCTATAGACGGCTAGAGATTAAAATCGATGATGACGAATTTAATCTCTAGTAATTGCTTAAAGCAAATTGAGCGGAATTCATATTAAACCAAATTAGAATAAGCAACAGCATTCAATGATTAAAGATATTAATTTATTTAGGTCTAATTGGGAAAATAAAAAACAAATAAAATGTAGCTATTGAGTAAACTTATTAAAGAACACCAGCCAATTCGCGTTAGGTCTTTTGAATCGGCACGTACTCATAGATGATCCTCCATTTACATGTCAATTCATGTCCTTTACAGAATGAGATTGTAACTTGTAATGAAACGTAGATCTTGTAATATAAATTGGTCGGAAAATCATCTCCAAGACGCGAATGGAGTCAAAACAAGCTGTTTGTGACTGTTTAATGAACGTTTTCTAGTATTGTTTATTATTGCTACTTGAATTAGATTTCTCTTGAAATAATAATAACTGCCACAACCGTTGAGGAAAAACGGTTATCGAGTGGCAGCCTCGTATCGGTAGGCGAAGCGCAGAGCGACCCCCCACAGTAGATGGAGTGACGACTTGGTAAGACATGCAGGAAGTCGATGGATGCAGGTGGCTCAGGACCGTGCTTTATGGCATAACTTGGGGGAGGCCTTTGTTCCGAAGTGGACTTGTGAAGGGCTGTAATGATGAAGATAATGAACAATAACTGCAAAGGTATTTTTGTAAGATTACAAATGCTTATCGCAAGCTCACTATTACCCACAGTAACACTACTCTACGAACTGGCATACTGTTACAGAATCTTCGACTGAAATTTTTTCGTAGTTTCCTATGCTCACTATATCGTGCACAGTCAGATGTCTATTTTTCATTTATTTACAAAAACGATCAGATATTTTTGGAATAAGAAAATTTTTGAGTTTTCCAATATAAAATGGAAATTATGAAGATTAATTTAATAGTTGCCGTTTTATTTAAACAATTTTTTGAAAATAAACGACTTATATGAATCGTAATTTTTTTAAGTAATCCTTAAAGTTGCCATAATTTTTTTCGCTAAATATAAAAATAGAATGAATGAAAGAAAGAAACATTCATTACAAACTTACCATACACTTAAATTAGGCACTTAAAATATTTGTACACACATCATTAAAGGCATAACAAAATGAAAAAAAAATTCAGCAAAAGTGTATATAAAATAAATTACTCTTAAAATAAGTTCTTCATGTGTGTTGGAGCGCATTAGACGAACGGACCTCACTTAGTTTATGATGTGTATAGATGGAATCAATAATTTAAGTTAGCAATAGTCAACGATTATAAGTTCATCAGAAAGTGGTAATGTCTTCGGTTTTGAATAGTATCTTGGAAAGTTGTCAGATTTATGTACATCAATATTTAGACATAGTAAGGTATCATAATATTCTTGTTAACTTACTTCATCAGGGCCAGTAGAAGGGACGACGGTTACAAAGCATCTCGAAATCACCCATATTGTTATAAATATTGCAGGTGCTCCTGTAAAGTTCATTTAAACGTTAACTGTAGTTAGGGTGAGATTAATATTTATATTGTGTAATATTCATGCCAGTAAATGCCAGTTAAAGTTCGACTATCATATGGTAAAAACAATATAGCAACCCGGCTTCGATCCCCCGGCACCAATGAAATTGTTAATAGCAATTATAATCGCTGATTTACCACGTACTCGGCGGTGAAGGAAAACATCGTGAGGAAACATGCATGTCTGAGAAATAAGAAAGAAACATTGCGAAGACATGTGAAGTTTGCCAACACGCCTAGGGGCAGCGCGGCGGACACTTCCTTGCCCTAAAACCCTTTGAGGAATGAGAGGAGGCATGTGCCCAGCAGTGGGACGTACATATTATGTATAAGCTGTAACCTAAACATATTTAATTTTATTGCATATTTAATTATATTCATTAGTAGTTAAAGTGTCAACATTTAATGAAAGTAATGAAAAATATTTTGTATGAAAACTTCACCATAATGTCTGTAGTTCGAAGTACATATCGTATAAATCATCAAATTAATAAAGTGATGACATTATTTGGTTATTTCTTTACTTAAATTATGAAATTTCAACAATAACATTCGACTTACCCCAGCCTATTGTGGTATATACCTTCAGTTTGATATTTTCAGCAGTAAATGTTTCAACCACTAACATATACAGATATAAGCCTGAAACATTAAAAATCTGTTAAATTTGTACAAATTAATAGCAGCAAATAAACGCTTACCTACACAGTTTAGATATAAGGCTGAGTCTCCACACATATCGTACAATATTCTTTTCTTTAAATAACTATACTTTCCTTTAAATTTACCAAATTTTTAAAATAATTATGTCAACACTATCGTACTGTGATGTTATTTTACCCGTTTTATTAAATTTTAAGAATTTTTTGCGGGGTATTTTTTTGTTTATTCTCTGAAAAAGAACAGAATCATAATATCACGATGTGTCGGTATTTCACCACCTTCTTGGAAAGCACATAAACCCGTTGATCTTGCACCTGATTTTCCTTTATATCGGCGTCACATTCAAGTATGAAGGGGTGTGCTTGAGAACTAATATTTATAGTATACAGGTGTTGCCCACACATTCGTGCATTATAATCCTGTCCGTGCAGATAGGTAGATTCCATTGAGAATGGCCGCTGCTATTGAAAATCGGTCTTAATTACTGTAAAAATAAACTACAGACAACTTGTTTGTTATATATTGATTAATTTTACCTTCGACAAGCATCCAGAAGAAATTCGTGAGGTAGAAATAATGCATGCAAATCACTAGTACAACACACGAAATTTGGTCATGTTGAGCTTCTTCTGACCAGTTCTAAAATAAAATATACTAACATGTAGGATTATATTTAAACTTTAAATTAAAATCTATTTTATTTAACCAAATGTCCAAATGATTTTATAATTATAATATATTATTATTGTTATAAAATATCAAATACATTTTAAAGTTACGATAATTATTATATTATTATAATCGGCAGCGTCCAAGGTGCGAGAGGTTTAGTATTTTAACTTGCCCGGCCATCATGGCGATTAAGGCAAAATTTCATTATAACGGGAGAGGCCTTTGTGTTGACTTCTACGGGCTAATGAAGAAATAAAGATTTCCAGAATAAAATTATTGAGAGAATTGTAATATTAAAAATACTTTACTTTCCGAGTGAAAATATAATATTTAAAATATTTACATTAAATGTGTTTTTAGTTAATAAAAATGTGTTCTATTTGGACATACCTAAGTGATTATATTTTTGTTATCATATGAACACTACAGTTCCTGTTTAGTTTTATAAACAAAGCTTTACTGCCTATGTCCGCTATAGGCTTTGAAACATTGAAGTATAATGTACTACGTATATTGTGCATCAATGCTTTGAAACCATCCAAACGATGTGCCCCAAACCAGTTTCATTAGAAAGGCGCATTAGAAATAATGCGAAGATGGTTTTAGACCACTAAAACAATTCATTAGGTACTATATAAATAAAAACGTATTAATCTAAAATAAACACGTTATACAATCACTATTAGTAAGATCATTTTTGTTGAGATGCTGCCAATTTTCAAATAATGAATGATTCTAATAGTAATAGTAAAAACTTCAAATAGTAAAATTATTTTGCATAATTTTACTAAAAAACAAAACGGTCTCGGAAAATATGCTATTCTATGCAATGTTTTTTGTGACGCAATGATGAAAGACGTCGAGCGTATATTTTAAAATTTAAACCGCGAAAGCCTTTATACTACTCCATAAATCTCTGTGGATACTTGACCATCTAAACACACAGAACTTTATACCAATTAAACCCCTCTAGAAAGTCCCTTTATGTACACACTGTGAATGAAAACGCCAAAATTTTAACAATACTTAATATTTGGTATTACAAAATTTAGGTACAGAGTGGGAATTTTTATGCATAACATCTTTGTATTTCTTTCCTTACTTCCTTATTCATACTATTGATACATTTTTGATCTTTCTATCCGATTACTGAAATATACAGTATTTTGACGCCTGTTGTATCTGGTTTAATCGTTTACGTTTAAAAAAATTCGACCTCTATAATGAGCCTCATGCAAATTCAGATTATGAACAGGCTCAAAATCGTAATAAGGAAATGAATGCTATGGTGGACGTGGATTCACCACAAGCCCAGGCCATACCAGGCCACACTTAAGCATCCTTAAACCTAAGTGATGCAATGATGTGGATTCATTTGCGCCATATAGAGAAAATAAAGGAGTTAAAAATGAATGAACGAGTTTGCTGTTGTACTTTAGTAATCGTATGAACTTACTGAGAGATAACAGCATCTTGCGACGTAAGATGGTAAACAATCAGTGTACGAAAACATCGTGAGGAAACCTATAAGTTTGAGAAATTAAAAATAAAGTGAAGAATTCGTAAATTCTAGATGCACTCGAGTGGAAGCTAAATGTAATATTGTTATTTCAGATCAGGTCAGGTTGTTGTCAGTCAGGTCAATAGAAGAGCATCGATTTCTTAGCTATAAAACTATCAAGATGATCTTAATGTGATCGAGAATAATGGCCGTTACTTCGATAAATTAAATGTGTGTAGCTTTTTATTAAAATTTTGAATTTTTCTACATAATATGAAAAGACTATGTACACAATACATAAACAACCACAACGTTTTTTACTCTATAATATTAAAATTTTAACGCTTTAACAATATTGGGGCGTGTTTTTATTTCATAAAGTTTGCATGGTATTACTTATCATACGAGATGGAATGGAAAAATAAATTGCCTTATGCTGCGACGTCATCTTCATTAGCCCGTAATCACTGCGTGGTAGAGCCACAAAAAATATATATTATGGTAGCAGCATGAATGGGTCAGCACGACCGGTATTTTTTTATAGGATATCGTGACAAACGAGCACACAGTCCACCTGATGGTAAGTAGTTGCTGTGGCCTATAGAAATCTATATCTATCGTCGATTACGAATCAAAATGCTGATGTGTCACCCGTGAGGATTAAGATGGAATGCCTCGTTTTCAGTAAAAATGGTCTCCGGTTCTCTACACTCAGCATACGAAACACAACAGCATTAAGCTACTAATTTACGCTGGTATTCTGTAAGAGCGTGGTCCTTCCCCGTTCGAGCCGACCCATTCGTGCTACAACTATACTACTAATATAACTGCAGCATGACTCGATCACGTAGAAAACGGTATAGGACCACGTTCACACAGAATACAAGTGTAAATAGCAGATTGTTTCGTATGGTGAGTGTAGAGAGCCGGAGACACTTTTTATTAGAAACGAGGCATACCATATTAGTCTTCTGGGAAGACAATACATCTGCATTTTGATTCTTAATTAAGGAAAAATGTAAATGTCTACACAGAATGCACCTGCCATTAGGTGGACTGAGTGCTCGTTTGTCACCTTTATTCTAAAATAATCATTAGCTACTGTAATACCAGACGTCTTGTATCTTTGAAGTTGCTTTTCATCACCGGTTTAGTTATTTTGACTATTCGCCTCTTATTTCGAAGCACCACTCCATCACCACATATAGCGGGCATTATTATATAGTAAAAAGTTTGCAAAAAATCGATTCAAGCTTTGTAAATAATTTGTATTTGTTTTTGTATGTTTGTTTTCTAATAAAAACATACATGCACTTTAAAAAAATTGCGCTTAATCCCATATATCAAAAATTTGTTTGATTTGATTTAAATTTAAATAAACAAAACGTGCAAAAGTGAACAGAAAATAACTCGTACGTTATTGTCTGTTGACTTTTACTTACGTGTTTTGTTTTTAATAACTAAAAGTAAGCGCTAAACTTTTCGTATTAAATGTAAATTTTGCTCTTGAATGTAAATAATTTGGAGCTTTTTGAGCTAACATTTTACGCATTTTTCAGTCGGGTGTTGTTTTCATAATATACGAAGTCGCTAGCCTCTTTACAGTTTTATGCCATAAACAAAATTAGTTTTTTTTTCAAAACTGCGTACAATTACCCTTACAGCCTAAAGAAGTCCACTGCTGAATATAAACCTTTCTTATAGAGTTTGGCAAGCGGGTCAACCGAAGTTTTATTGGGTTGTTTCAGGAAGATGCTGCTGATGCATCTCCAGTTTCAGTTTTCTTCAGTCGCCCCTTACGACACCCACTCGACCATATGGGTACAGTCAGTCAAACACCTCCATTACATGGTTATTTATGAATATTTAGTTACATTTCAATACTTACTTGTAAAGCTAAGTTTAACATCCAACTACATGCCGACAATATATATGTAGACATTAGGTTTGTGTGAATAGTATTTCTTAGACATCTTAAATCTCTGAAAAGTAATAATAAAATTATGTTTAATAGAATTGATTTACTTTCAGTACAATAAAGACTTTCAAGAAAATTTATTAATGGAAATTCTTTTAAAATGTGTTATTAGTCTTAAAGTGCTTTGAATAAAAATTACTTACAATTGTAAAATATTAAAAAAAGAACATATTACATTGATCAAAACTTACTTAAAATACAGAAAAACAAACACGGCTAGGGAAAGGACGGCAAGACTGAGAGAATAGCCTGCCAGATAGATGAGGCTGGTCACATCTGTCGGCGATACGTTCGCAATGCGTTCTGTGCAATTTACATAGTTGGAGTAGTTGTGCCAGATGCCATCCAAGCACAAACGGGAAGCGTTCTCTGTGAATAGAAAATATTATATTAAAACGGTTTTCAAAGTGATGGCTTCTTTAGAATCGGTGTGATTTGAATTACGATGAAATGGGAAAATCTAAAAATAAACAAATATATATCAAAGATTTAAATAATATAAAAATTTTATAACAAAAAATGATAAACATGCGATAGTCATTTTTTAAGTTTGTTGAATCATTAATGTTATGGCTTTTTGGAGTAGAAAATGTCAAAACTCAAGTCGAGTATTTTGTAAAAATCGAGGAAAGCATATTCTCTAAACATCGTAAACAAAAAAAAATTCTAATATTTTTTGTTTACGATGTCGCATCCTGTGATTTAAAGATCCATAACAAAAGCTTGGACTTGTTTTTCATAAAGATACCAATAAATGAGGTTCTTAACTTATAATCCAAACAGAAAGTTTTTAACAAAAAACTTGATTGTTGTGACAGCGGTGAATAATTCATTTTTATGAAATCACGAACGTTTTGACACTTGAAAGACAAAAATACAAAATTAAGAGTTCTTCTGTTTTTTTAACATATTTTTAATTGAAAATAAAAGTGGATTTTTTGTAGGTTGTATTATCGTATTATCTTAGTTATATTAACTTAGTAATTTATTTATTTCCTTATTTACTTAAAAGTCTCAAAACCTGAAACTAGATTGTACAACCAGTGCAACACGCACTGGTTGTACAATCTAGTAGTGGCACTGGCCAGTGACTTACGGATCTAAGACATGGTCCTTCACTGCTGGCCGTATGAAGACTCTTAAGGCCGCTCAGCGAGCTATGGAGAGAGCTATGCTCGGGGTTTCTCTCAGTGATAAACTTAGAAATGAGGATATCCACAGTAGAACCAAAGTGACCGACATAGCCCAACGGATTAGTAAGCTAAAGTGGAAATGGGTCGGCCATATAGCTCGAAGAACTGACAACCGTTGGAGAAAAAAGGTTCTCGAGTGGCAGCCTCGTACCGGTAGGCGTAGTGTAGGGCGACCCCTACTAGATGGAGTGACGACCTGGTAAGACATGCAGGAAGTCGATGGATGAAGGTGGCTTACGATCATGCTTTGTGGCATTCCTTGGGAGAGGTCTATGTTCAACAGTGGACATATTAAGGGCTGTAATGATGATGATAATGATGATTGCTATATATATGCGCGATGTGCTACACGATCATCTAGCAGCCCATCGCATCCATCATCCTCACCAGATGGCTTGGTGTCGGCAGGGTCCTTTCGGACTCGGCAAGCGGCATCCACCGCAAACAGCAAACGCATTGCATGTGTACTATAGGGCGAAAGGGGAAGAAGCTGCAGGGATAGCGCATGGGGCTGCATATATCCGGCATTGCTTTTTTACTGAGCTGGTGCCGTCTATTCCTGTCACGGAGCAAAACCTGGCAGACCAAGTTCGGTACATTATGCGCTCGAAAATATTTGATGATGCCGAACTGGAACGACTACGGCGTGAGGTAATACCTCATCGAATGAATTGGCTATAGCTGGGGATGTGGCTCCTCAGGCCACAGACCAGCATCCACACGTGGAAGCTGTCATGGATCTTCCAGTTGTGGTTGATTCAGACTATGATGAAAGTCGCCCACGAACTAGAGCAAATGAGGATCGCTCTGTCATGAGGGATCTAAGCCCAATGCTGTTGACCTATTTTGAAGCCAGCCGGGACCTTTGCGAGACGGATTCAATTCTTTTTGGCTCCACACTGGCAGTATGCCGCATTATTGGCGCCAAGCTTAAAAGTTTGTTTAGCACTAGTGCTGCGTCAGCTAGGCGCATACTTAATAATCCATTTTTTGGTAGCTCTAAATAAGATTTACTTTTGTATTTGTGTTTATTTTTTTGTTAAAAATAGCTTGTAGTGTTATTGACTGTTCTATGTATGAGTTGATTGTCTTTTATATGTATAATACAAGTTTAGCCCTCATTTGGCAGAAATATGTTGTATTGGATACTTTCGAGTGTTAAATCGTGATCATCATTGTTGTAAATTCACCTTTGTATCTTTTAGTGAGGATCTTTAATCGGCTTACTGTTGTTATTAGTACTATCTATCCTAATTATGATAGCTGTTCGTGTTCCAAATAAAATAAAATAAAAAATAAAACAAGTTTCCCACGGTTGGACATGACATTTTTAAAAGTAGCGCCCTCATTGGCAGACTGACAAGCTTCAGGTCGGGCAATAACAGGCCAATATTTGTGCGCACCGTCAGGTTGATGTTTGCTGGGACAAATTTCAGATTATTCCAGCCGGCTATTAGGCAAAATTGAAGGAATGCATAGACGACCTGAAGCAGAGAATCGCTGCTTGTGGAAAGCGGATTCAGCGATATACAGAGAGATCGACACGAATAGTTCCTTCCAGAGTGATCAGAATAGCCTCTACAAATCATTGGAGTGACCAATGGAACGTGAAACGAGCCAAGCACCGAATCAGGCTGACACTGTCGCATTATGGTGTGGTCTGTGGCCAGAGCTCGTAAACCACATTGAAGGCCATTTGACGGAAGTTGTGGCGGGCCAGTGTGCGAATGTTACGCCCATGGATCCGTCATCATAATGCCGGACGGCGTAGCTGATGCGGTCCGTAGGGTCCCGAACTGAAAGAACCCAGGATTAAACGGGATGCATCACTACTGGCTAAAGAGGTTCATGGTCTGTCACGCTGTGCTCGCCCGACAATTTCATGAAGCTTTCGACCAGAAGTCACCCCCAACCCTGTTCACTATTGATATCACTCATTTGGTTCCTAAAGACCAGGATACCACAGACCGGAGCAAATACCGCCCCATCACGTGTCTACCAACCATATACAAAACACTAACATCCAATTTGAGCGCGAGAATCATTCTTTACCTTTACTTAAATCAGATGACTACGCTCGCTCAAAATTGATGTCGGGGCGGTGCTTTTGGTACCAAGAACCCACTCCATATTGAAACGGTTATTGCCAAGGTAGTTAAACGTAACCGTCTGAACTTCTCCGCCGTCTGGATACTACAGAAAGCATTTGAGACAGTGCCTCATATATGGCTGAAGAGGATACTCTAGTTGCACAAGGTTGACTGTACAGTTGAAGACTTCCTCGGGCATCTTCCAGGACAAGTGCTTGAGTCGTTTGGTTTTGCCTCTCTCTGAACGCACTCAGTACCTTACTGAAGGGTTTCGGAAGAAGATTTTAGCTTTGGAAGGGAGGTGCATAAGTCACCCACCTTTTCCATATGGCTGATCTTAAATTATTCGCCACCTGAGGGTATAGAATTATCTATGCCCATCAATATAAGGACCTTTTTCGAGACTGAAACATACCGATACCTGGGTATGTCACAAATAGGTATGGTTGAGAGGACAAGAAACAATTAGTTTGCGATCTGTTTTATGTACTCTTGACCAAAGTGCTTAACAACCTTTTGTCGGGCGTGAATAAGACACAGGCATATAACGGTTGCGTCATGTCTGTCCTTATGTATATCTTTGACACTTCGCGAGTATGCACCATGCATACTCGCGAAGTGTCCAGTCTCCATAATTACTTCCTGACGAGATCGGATGATCTATTATATAGGGGCGTCATTTCTTGTGATAAAGGGCTTACCCCTTTATCCTTAGTCAGTGAGCAATAACAAGACCTGGTAATACATAGTATTTCCGACTGGGAGACTGCATGGAAGGAGAAGGAGCTCCATTAAAGGTTGTACAAGGCTCTATATGAGCCTTTTGTAGATACGGTTGCCTCCCTTCACTGGCCTCTTTGGCGAAACCGAGGGTTTTATCCGTGCGATAAAGGATCAGGTTATTAAGATCAACGAATATCGGAGATACATCCTAAAGGAAGGTGCTGTCGACGCCTGTTGAGCTTGTCGCCATCCCGGTGAATCACTTAGGCATGTCATCTCCGGTTGTTCGGCTCTTTCTAACTCGAGTACTTGCACAAGCATAACCTAGTAGCCAGGATTCTACACCAGGAGCATGCTCTGAAATACGGTCTCGTGAGTCGGAAACTACCTTATTATAAATACTTGTCGGAACCCGAGCTCGAAAATGATCGCGCCGGGCTCTACTGGGACCGGGCCATCATCACAGACGGGACTATTCTTGCGAATATAAGCCTGATTTTGTGCTGATGAACCGGGCACAGTCAAGGATATTTTTGGTCGATACTACCATTCCGTATGACGAGAACCTCGTGAAAGCCAAAACAGATAAGCAATTAAAATATCTGAACCTGGCTCACGAGGTGCCCGATATGTGGGGTGGTCTGCCGACCAAAATTATTCCTGTAGTCGTTTCTACAAACGTGCTAATCCCAGTCAGCCTCTCGAGTCATCTGAGGCAGCTGGGACTCCGTCACGGACCGCTGCGGGCTCAAATGCAAAAGGAGGTGCTCCTCGATACCACCCACATCGTCCGCCGCCGATTTCATCTGGTTGGGCTTTTATTTATTTATGTATTACTTATTTATGTATTATTTATTTATTTATAATAGTATATTAAATATATATTTATGTATATTTCTCATTTCCTTTCATATATTATTTATTTAGCCCAACCAGATGAGAATACTCTATGAATACCCCGGATAACAAATATTTATATGTATTATTATTATTACATATAAGAATAATAATTATTATTATTAAATAAATTTAATTTGTTTTACAAAAATAATGTAAGAATAAATATATGTTAGATGAGCATTAGTAATGTTTTTGGATTTTCTTATTACTAAGGGAAGCGTATTTCGAAATTGTACAGATGTAACAGCTAAGGGGAATGATGTTAAATCTATAAGTTTAAGGAAATTAGAAGTACTGGTATTGAAACTTATATTTTTAATACCCTAGGTGCTCAAAATTCTAAGATTCTTTCATTGCAAGCTTTATAACCATTTGAGAGAGATAGAATGAGACGTGGTCGTACTTTCGAAGACCGTTAACAAAGTACATGGCCGTAACATGTTTTTAATCTGCACAGTTATCTCAAAGTAGAACTAACTTTACGGCTAACTTTCTCAACTTAACTGCGCCAAGTTAGAGAACAATCTGAGGTTAATTCTAAGTACTTAACTCGAGTGCTGTACGGAATTACCTCGCCATTAAAAATCAGTGGACTTATTGCTAAGTTATTAAATTTAGGCTTGGAATTTGCTAGGATTAACAGCGACCCCGTAACTTTTTGACCAATTGAGAATCTAAGATCCGAGTTAATCACTGCTACAACATTTTGTATACGAGTAACATCAGCATAAGCATTAAGAATACAGTTTCAAGTCGTTGGCATACAGATGGTGGGAGGCACGAAGGTTTCAAGTAATTATACTGGTAAAAATTGAGAAAAGTAATGGAGAGAGACTACGGACACAATACGGAGCACCACCAAGAAAAAATTCTTCCTTTAAAGTGCTTAAATATATAATACTTACGCGTGTCATCGTACTGGACTCCATGAAACTCGCTAAAACATTTTTGCACAGCCAATGTATACCATGGTGTTGGATCCCAGCATAACAGTCCATCATAGTAAGCTGGACAAAAGTTTTCAGTCAGATTGAGGTTCTTTTCCAAACATTCCTGGGCTCTTGCACTGCCATTTTCGACCACGCTTTCTGCGCCCTCCAAAGTTTGTAGGTCCTCCAGTTTGATAAGTTTTTATTTGACTAGTAACTTTACACAAATTTGCTATTTTCTTTGGTATATAAATTTGCACATACACTTATATTTCATTACAAGATATTTATTCTACTATAGAATACAGCAACAGTTCTTCGATATCCATGGTTTGTTATTGAATTTTCTAGAAAATTTGGCTTCAGGTATTTTGTGCGACACGCCTGATTGCAACGGAGTCTGTAGAGTACTTTTGTGTCTCCAGTAAGAATGTTACCATGATAAGGTTGTTTGCTCGGGGCTTGTGTTCTAACTTATCAAGCGATAAGACTTCCAGTACAAACATCGGCAGTCTCCGGGAGTATTTGCGTTTCGTGCAAGGAACTCTAATTTTTCTGTTTTCAATTCCTCTTCATTTAAACTGTAAAAGATAATTAATATAATTTTAGATAAAATGTTTTATAATTCTAAATGTTAAGTATTCAAATACTGGTTCTTATGTCATTTCAAGGTTACTTTTATTGATTTAGATAAGATTCCACTATTTCAATCTTGCACTGGAATTGCAATTTAGTGTTTACTATATTAATTTACCGACGGTTCTTAACTGAATTTCTGTTTTAGACCTGATGGTAGAACATTGGTTTAAAATGTTTGGACTAATCCTAATTACATTTGAAGTATAAAGAGAGTCCACATGAATGCGTATGAGTGCCATAAAGTGTTTAATCTCAGGTCATAAAAATGTATGTCACATGTCATGTCGTGAAGTAACTTAGTGTCGCTCGTAAGAAGTCATATATTTTTTTTCTTTTCTAAAAGAATATTAACAATGTTATAAACATTACTAATATTCCCCTTAACCACTCGTGGTAAGCTTAAATTGCTTGTGTTACGAGTGGTTCACGCCAGTAGTCGAATGGCGGATTCGAACCCACGAACTTTTTGAGTTCGCGGTCCACGCCCTGCCATTAGGCTACTGTCGCTTGTTCTAAAAGATTTTTTTTTCTAAAAGAATATTCAATAATTGAAAAAGAAAAAAATAATTTTGAATGAGATATATTTTGAATCTTTAAATTTAATACAACAATTTATTGACGCCTTACGATAAATTAAAGATAGGTATTTTAGTTTTATTCAATTAAAATATATAACATAAAAATATACAACTTAAAAAAATTAGAGGCATGTATGTGTAAATTTTATTTTATTTATTCATAGAATAAATGGAATACGCTTAATATTTTTGTTTTTAGTACCTATCTAATTTTTTTTCTTCATGCAAACTAGCTGTCGATAATATAAACACGTAGGTTACTTTCATTGGGAATACATCTCTTGTTCAATTTTTCATTTCTTGATCCTCAATTCTAGGAGGGTTTTTAGGGGAAATAATAATTCTGCCGTTATAATGGGTAATGTAGTCACATGTCCTCGAAATATTTTTTATTAATCTGATGTATAGGTAAATAATTATAAATTGCATTAAAAATATCTCTGTTGTACGCAGGTATGGAACCCGGGCTACTTGCGTACTGAGAAATTTAAGGTGCTAACAATCTCCCGTCATTTAAATACGAAATCGTTTGTACTATACCGACTTTTGAAAAATGAATTAAATGTTTCGTAAACTACCTTTTATTTTAATTTGTGATTTTATTATTCTTTATATTTTTACACCTTTAAAGAATGATTGCTAAAAAGCCTAATATTAGTTACGTTTTGTAGTGTGGAAGTTTCTGAGTTTTTCTCAATAGATATGGGAAATGCTTGTGTAATCCAAAAACTTTAATTTATAATAGAACAATCAAATTTATAAAAGGTCATATATCTTGATCAGTTGCATCCGCGTAAATGCATCGATCTCGCAGAGTTATTTATATTTAGAGATGTCGAGTGGTGACGAAAGTTTCCGAAGAGGACTCGTTATCCTTAAGGGGAAATATAACCTCAAATGGCTTAGCAAGTTCCTCCGTTATGCCGAAAGTATTGCAGCATTAATTTTGAAATAAATATATGGTAAAGTTGAGGATTAATGTTAAGGACTATGTTAGACGAAAACACGATTCCGTAAAATTTTCTCGATAGAAAAAAAAATCCAAAGTTACCTCCAAACTGAACAATAAACCGCTGTTATTCATAAAATACTTTAAATAAGATCGTGAAACTTTGCATAATAACTGAACTAACTATAAAGCAGTGCTTATGTTATTTACTTTTTTTAAAGTACCATTATTTTCACTGTAAAAAGAAATTACTTAAACTATCGGCGTCTTGAAGCTTGATTCCTGTCGCTCCGTTAGTATCGCTTAGGCTTTTGAAGGGAGAAGTTGTGTCGCTTACGATCAGAATACACATTACGCAACAGGACGACGTAAAATTAAAATGGGAAATAACCATGATAAAAATAAGAAGTGACTGGGTTGGCGTTAAGAAACAGGTATAAATATGATAAACCTAATGAAATAAGTATCTAACTACCTATCTACTTACAGTATTAGTGATTACAAACATGTCGGTACATACCATAAGACGCGCGGGAAAGTGGGGGTGAAATTAGAATTTGAGCTGACTTACTATATCCCCTTAACTGACTAACAGCAACATTGAGTGACTACGATAAAATAGATATGAGATCTTAATTTCTTCATAAGAAGATTCACAAGAAGAAGATTTTAATATACTATGAAATAAGAGACGTTATAATTTTAAGTTATAATTTTTTTAAGTTGTTTCAAAATTAAACATTGATTTGAATATTTTGGTTTATAATTTGTATGATGATCTAAATATAACTTAATACAGTAAAAAGGAGTAGTTTATATTCATTAAAGAAGTATTTCAAATAAAATATCAGTTATTATGTGATAGGTTATTATAGAAAGAGCCGTATGTCAAATTTTCTTTTTCGTATAATGTTAAATTTAATTGAATATTGAGGAAGCCATATTAAAAATATTTAGAATTTCGCTTTCATGGTGACTTTATGGCTAGCCTTATAAAATTTACGGGTATTTAATGTTTCCTTTACTTTGATCGTTGCTTTGTCTGTTTTCTGTATCTTCGTTTGTAAAATATAGGCTGATGATTCTTGCATGTACTTATTGTCTGTAAACTTACGATTTACTACTTAAGCGTTATCGTAAGATTGAAGATCTAAAGGGTTACAATGCGTGGACTTAATGCTTTATGGGCATTCTCTACCAGTAAACCCTGAGAGGATTACACATGTAATAGTTGGTAGGTGCTAAAATATATTAAAGTGAATGGACATATATTGTAAATAAATATATACGCATACATACAAATACACATATATAGAATAATAAAAATAATATATATATATATATATATATATCATAATTTACTTAAATTTTTAAAGTTTTAATATCTCTGCACTTCCCGAAGAGAAAGAGGATTGTCAAAGACCCCGCATTATTTTATACGTGGTAGAGCCATGCTGCAGTTATATTAGTAGTATAATTGCAGCTCCAATGGGTCCGCTCGACCGGGGAACGACCACGCTCTCACAGAATACCGGCATCAAATAGTAGCTTAATGCTGTGTTTTGTATGGTGAGTGTAGAGAACCAGAGACCCTTTTTAGAGGAAACGAGGCATTCCCTCTTAGTCCTCACGAGTGACAACGCATCTGCATTTTGATTCGTAATCGAAGATAGATGTAGATATCTATGGGCCACAGCAACCACTTACCATCAGGTGGACTGTGTGCTCGTTTGCCACCCTATGCTATAAAAAAATATCGATACTCGTGTGAGCTAGAGGAAATAAAACTACATACAATTTGTATCTTAATTTTTTAATTAAATTTTTTTAAATGTGCTTGAATGATTCAGATAACGCACTTAACGGGAACCACAGGGTTTTTGTTACACGTTGTATATAGAATTCTCCTCAGGATAGTGTTGCCGGACTAGTTTTTTAAACGTGTACTTATTCCAAAGACTATATAACCAACTCTGACTTATTCGATGCTTTTGTCATATTAAACGGGAATGGCGTTCCAGAGAAGTATTGCTTGAACTGTAAAAGAAGAATTAAAGAAACCAGTACTATACTGAGGCATGACTATTAGGATATAAGAGGAATGAGTTTCACGGTCAAGAGTTGAATACCGAAACTGGAATTTGTTCATAAGATAAGGAGACGTCGAATCGTTTAATGTAGAGGAAAGGGTTAGTAAGATTATAATTATATTTATATCTATAAATGCGAACTTTGATTTTATCACAGTAAATATTCAAAGCATCGTTAATTCTTTAATACACGTAAGTACCTCTGTTTGGTATATTTATAGTCAATAAAAACGATAAACGGTCAACGTCGAATTTTACTGTAAACAGTTTAGTATTAAATTTAAAGTTTTTTTGATATAACGGTATATAAGTAATTTAATATCCTATCAGTATTTATATACATTATATGATATAACGTATGTATATAGAATAATATCATATATATAAAATAATATAGTAAAGGTACAGGGAAATCGTACAGCATCGTGTTACGCTATTTACAAGTTTTAATTCGTAATTATCATTATTTTCGTTTATTTTTCTCTTCTTTTCAAGATGCCTGGATGGCGCTGAATGGAAACTTGACACGCATGTCATGGCTTCCAGCTATCTATTGGCTTCCGGAAAATGAAAAGTTTTTTGTTAAAATGGAATAGCTTTCGATTTTGTTTAAAGATTAATTGAAGACAGTAATGTAAAGTTACAGTTTACACACGCCACACTACCGGACACAGGCCTCTTCTCACTGTCGAGAGAATTTTTAAAGCAGCAAAAAGTTTTCCACCTTGAACTAATTTCCAAGATAGTCTTTGCATTTCCGAAATATTTTTAAACTAGCTTTTAAACGCGTTTTCGTCCGCATATAGGTAACTTAAAAACATGCAGATCTATCCTTTTGGTTTATGTTTTTTGCAGATTATATTATTATCTCATCACATAGATCAAATATATGAATTATAGTCGTTGAACAAGAAGTTCCGTTATTGTAAAAACACTTTTTTAGTTAACATAACTAATTTCTTTGTTATTATTTAGAAAACTACTAGAATGTGCAATACGGGGAAAATGTTGAAATATAAATTGAAAATCTATTAATTTTACGCGAAAATGGTCTTATCACTTAATCCTATAATTTCAATCATATTTAACGTAAGTTTAAATAATTTATTTTTTATTCACTTTTTGTTCCCTCGTAAAAATGTGTTGGAGTAAAAAAAAATGTGAAGACAGTTTAAAAAAAGTCAATTAGATTTGACTGTGTGTATGTAACGCGATGTAATCATCAATTGAAACCCGATTTTAAAGTTTATTTTTTATTGAATAGATTATTATTCAGGGGTGATCCTACATAATTTATTGATGTTACAGACAGACTTGGTACTAAGTTGACTATAGGTATATCGATGTGATGAAGTGTTTATAAGGTAAGACACGATGGTTATCCGAGAACAGAACCGGAGTACGAACGAAACCTATCCAACTTCAGAGGGGTGTAAGACAGGGTGACGTTATATTATATGACGTTATATACGAAACTATTCACCGCTGCATTGGAAGACGCTTTCAAGTTACTGAACTGGAAAGGAAATCACTCAACTTCGATTTGCCGACGGTATAGTCCTTATGGCAGAATCGCTGGAAGACCTTAGTACTATGCTCAATGACCTCAATAGTGTCTCCCAACGGATAGGTCTTAAGATGAACATGGACAAAACAAAGATCATGTTTCATGTCCATGTCACACTTATGCCGGGAGTTGCTAGGAGCACTAAGCTTGAAGTTGTTGACGAGTACGTTTACCTGGGACAAATAGTCCGACTAGGTAAGTCCAACTTCGACCGAGAGGTCAATCGACGGATTCAACTCGTCTGGGCAGCGTTCAGGAAATTAAGACACATCTTCTCGTCAGGTATACCTCAAAATCTGAGAAATAGATTGTACAGCCAGTGCGTGTTGCTAGTGATGACTTATGGATCTGAAAGTGGTCCTTCACTGCTGGCCGCATGAGAACGTTCAAGGTCATTTAGCGAGCTATGGAGAGGGCTATGCTCGGGGTTGCTCTGCGTAATAAACTTAGAAATGAAGAAATGAGGATATCTGCAGTAAAACCAGAGTGACCGACATGGCTCAACGGATTAGTAAGCTGAAGTGGCAATGGGCCGGCCATATAGCTCGAAGAACCGATAACCGATGGGGAAGAAAGGTTCTGGAGTGGCAGCCTCGTACCGGTAGGGCGACCCCCCACTGATGGAGTGACGACCTGGTAAGACACGCAGGAAGTCGATGGA